AATTTTTGGGGGGGGCCCCCCCCCTTTTTTTGGGGGGGGGGGGGGGGGACCCCCCCTTTTTTAAAAACCCCCCCCAAATCCCAGGAGGATCCTCGTCGCTAGGTTCTTCCTTCGAATATATTTTTTTGTCGTGGAAGAAGATATATATATATATATAGCTGCCACCATTGCATCATTGGGCAGATTAAGTCTACGAAAAATACTCGGCATTGCCCCCGACAAAATCGTTTGGATGTCGAGCAGCATGAGCATGATTCGTGAGCCGTTTGACAGCCAAAGCTCGGGCAACGACTCACGAATCATGCTCATGCTGCTCGACATCCAAACGATTTTGTCGGGGGCAATGCCGAGTATTTTTCGTAGACTTAATCTGCCCAATGATGCAATGGTGGCAGCTATATATATATATATATCTTCTTCCACGACAAAAAAATATATTCGAAGGAAGAACCTAGCGATATCATCATGTAATTTGACGGAGTAATTCTAAGAAAGCGGGCTATTCCACCCTTTTTCGCTCATAAGAAAGTGACGTGGACTAGCCTCAAAGATATCTAAGAGATCCCTTTGTCGAACATTATCCATCACAAAGAGATTGGAATGGATGGGTTGCTAGCCGAAAAGTGGAAAAAAGTCAATTATAATCTCACCAACATCCAGGTCGACGGAATGAGATTGCCATTCACATGGTAGAGACCTTCCTCTCCATTTAATTGCCATTTGAACAAGGATATATTATCTCATACAAGACGTCGGAGTGTGAGGGTTTTTCTTCTTTTCTTTTTTTTTTCTCCCCTCCGATGTTGAAAGAGTTCAACTCGCTGCCCCTGCAGAAAGTTTACTTCCGCCAGGTTTTCGCAGAATCCTTCGATCTTCTTCATCAGGCTTGAAAGTTCACGACGGGCTCTTCTATTTTCTTCCCTTGTAGCGTTCTCCTGTGATATTCTACTGTTTCCTGAGTTCTCTGGACATATATTGTTCCCAAATGAGTTAATCCTTGGCGAACTGATGCTGCACATCCTCGTCCTAGCGTGTCGTTCCTCATGGTAAGGCGATGGATAGGACTGAACCATATGGACGTGGCTATATAAGCCCCTTCTCGGCAGGTTATATGACTGGTCTTCGAATATGTTTGAGGATGACGGGCATGGGGAAGCGGCATACAGAGGTAACAATATCCCCCTGGTCCTCGGACGAACACCAGTACAGTACGGCAACGAATAAACAAACACCGCAAGGTAAACGATTGAAGCTTTCGATAAAGCCCAATACAGTCGAGCTTCATTGAACTTTTCATTCGTTTTCTCTTTTGTCGGACATTCCGAACCTCCATATCAAGCGCAATATGGAATGGAAATTTCTAAACGTCAACGGGAAATCTGTTGGATTTTTCCCGAGGCAACATGCACGCTGCAAGCCCCGTGTCAGCAAAATGTGGCATGGCAATTTCAAAACTAAGAGCCCATTTGTATGGGGTTTAATTCTCTTCCAGTCTTCCAAGGTTATTAACATCCGGGAAGATGTTTAAAAGAAAAACAAACGGTGTTTCCGCTATTCCGCTAGCTCTGTGACGGTGATGGTGGCGTATGAGGGAACCTTGCGTCGTATTTTGCACTCATGTCGCTACATACAGCAGCTCACAATGACCTGACTGGCAGTCAATTCTCATTATGATTATTTTACGGAGTACAGATTCCACACAATAATAATGAAACAATGGTAACTAACGTTAGTTATTGAACTGACCGTAAATAATACATTCTCCTGTTGACATACCTTTTTTACGCTGTGAGGAGTTTCACTCCCGGTCTCTCCAAATCATCACAAGCAATCATTCTCCTTTGCAATCCTCCCATCCATCTCAAGGCTAGACACGCCTGGTCTGATACTGACAATAAAAAGATAACATTCGTTCAACAGCTATCTATTTATCTCAGTGCAATGATTCAATAGAGATGGGTTTCCCGTCAATAGACTGAGCTTTTACTTGGTGCGGGAAGCGGGCTTCTAACTTCAGATGGAGCTGCGCCATTGAGGATATTGCGGATGGCATATGTCAGGGAGACGAATGACCAACCAGAATGCTAAAATGGAAGAATATATATACATCTATGCAGCCGGTTTCAGCGGAGGCTTTCTGCAGATCCTCCCCCGTCCGCGTCGCCTGGATCGATATCGATAAGTTCCCCACCATTTAGCTAATGCAATCAACGTCGACCTCACCTTTGAAGCTCTAAGGTTACCTTCTCGAGATGCAACTCTCGACCTGGACGCACTGTGACAATCCATCCCCCATGATTGATCGTCGATTATTGGCAGCACATTCCGAACATTCACCATCTCCCTTCTCCCGCGGACTTGATAAAAAAAATAGCTATGCCGAGACCAACCTGGATTGTTGAATATGCAGTTTCCACCCTATCAGGGAGTAGACCTGCCTTCGCCTACTTTAACTGCTTGCTGGGTACGAGCGGCCGAAAGTGCAAGCATAGGGGCTGCCTTACATGGGGTTGTCCACTGCAGGGATTTTTATTTTTATTTTTTTCCTTATTTCTTTTCTTTTCTTTTTTTACACCCCCCCCCCCCCCCCTGAGAAGACACGAGATATCTTGTTTAAATATGATTGGATTGAACACAGGTCCAGGATTGAAAACTCAAGTCACCCATGTCCTGGGTCCACTTCCGCCGTGCTAGCTGGTGGTTAACGCGGAAGCGGTCCACTGGTGATCTGCTCTAAGATAGCTTGATTCACTGGCTGATGTATCAATGGGCTACAATCATCTTTGCTTCCATTTGGAAGCGTTTGAATGGGATCCAGTTGTCACACCGCTAAATTTGCAAGACGAAAGGAATGTCATCCTTCGAGCACGGATTTTAATCAAGCTAACACCGTCGTCAATATCTCTTTCCTGTTCCAGGGGAAGGATGTGGGTGTGGAGCAGCCCACTTCCCTGAGCATATATATATCTACCATTATTGATACACGCGGCTAGATATCCTCATTCCGTAAGTATCTAACCTGGGCAGATCCTGACATCCCTGAGGTTCCCGAAAGCCGCAAAACTTGGTTAGATGTGCCGGTTTGATAAGAGGGATCGCTAAACGGGACATCATCCTGCTGCGGATCTACTCCACCATTTTTTCCATGTGGTTTCCCCCAATGATCCTTGGGTATTTCTCCATTTTCACGCGAGATGTGCCTTGGAGGTAGGGCAGGACAGGCCAGAACAGGCCAGGGTATGGTCTCAATATGGCTGTTTCCAAGGTTGCCTCTGACACATCTGTTGATATGTTTAGCTAATTATATAGTTATTTCGTATTTATATCTAACACTCATTGACGAAGGAGTCACCTGGAAAAAGAACACTGTGCAGATACGTAGATACGATTCTATTCGCTTTTCCAGAGACTAACATTGCACTGGATGACGTTTCCAAAAGCAGGGGCAGTACCGTGCATGACCCTGATGCGATGATTCGATCAAAGGAATAGCTTCTTGTGAGCGCGATCGATTCTTTAGTCCAGAAAAAGTTGTCTCTTAATTCTCATCATCGTTACCGTGATGATCATTTATCCAATGCTAAAATATCGGGAGACGGTCCAGCGATGTCCAGTTTGCTCTGCACAAATGTGAGATACACAATTTTTACGAATGAATAAGGAATCAGGTAACTCGCCAGGTGGTCTGATTCTCTAGGTGGACAGTGTTGAATTGATGGTCAATTCAGGGGGCCAAACCTCCGCCTTCCGGCCCAGAATCCGGTCCTCCCCCAACGCCCCAATTCCCGCAAAAAGGCCACTCTGTGCTACACCGAGAATATCCGATGTTCCCGGGCACGCCGTGATAGCATCATATAAACAAGGAAGACTCGGGTCCACAATCTAGTTGGGTAATCTTGGACCTGCGCGTGAGCCTCAACAGCGTGAGCCTCAACAGCAGGTATTCCTTAGGGGAATACAGAAGTGGACCACGGAGCCGCTATACGCCTCCAAGTGAGTGTCTTCAAGGCAAAGCCGATTCCGGGTACAGCGGACGGTCCGCAAGACTCAACTCCAATGTGCTCCTATGCTATGGTTTGCCCGGTTCTTCAATCCAAGGAAGACTTGCAGGAATATTTATGCACAGGTCCAGAACCGGCGCCTTGAACACAGAGCTGGCTGGCCTCAAACATCAATAAACTTGAGTTCTGACAGAAAGGCTGAGGGGGGGATATATGGGGTTGGACTAGGACTGAGGCCAATGTGGTCGGTCCATGAGAGCGTGCAATATATGATGAGAGTGTGCATCAAAGCACTACAAAAAACGCCTTTCCGCTGGGGGTCATGATGTGGTGTCTAGTCCTTTATAACAAATTCTTAGTATCTCTGTTTTGTTCACAGAGGGTACATTGATGTCTGAGTGAGATGCCTGAGATGATAAGATACATCCTGATCAAGTTGACATGATAGTGTATAGAATTGAGATGCGAGAGAGAAAGAAAATTGCACCTGTTTCCTAAACAGATGTAGATGAATGACTTTTATAACTTCTATCTGTATGATATCAGACAGTATCAGTGACAGAAGCACCATGCATGATAAAGTTATGAGAGCAAATATCTCTGTTCGGAAGATGTGAGATGAAGCAGATGTATACTCTCTTCTTTTCCATGTCTATAAAAAAATAAGAAAGTCGAGCTCAATAAGACATGAATGAAGCATGGCGGCTGTGAGGAAGACACGGCTAAAAGACAAGATGAAGAGGAAAGGAAGGCAGCGAAGGTATGGAATGGGTCTGGGGTGCCCCCATAGAGTATAGTAATGGATTTGGAGAGCAGTTTTTCAGATTCTCAGACCATTCAGCTCGAAGCAGCCTGAGAGACCAATATAATATATTATTATCCCATGAGTTCGCTTTTCATTAAGAGATATAAAGCAGCGCAATGACTGCAGTGTAAGACATGAAGCATAGCTTTTGGGTAGAAACTTCATAATAGATAATGGAGAACTCAAGATGAAGCACTTCGGACTGTCAAGCCACTACTCTTAGCATCACCAGAGGCTCCCAGTGCTCTCTAAGCCGAATACATAGAAAGTACAACCGGATAGCAAGGACAGCCTTATCCCGTGAGAGGTGATGTAGCTTTTAATATTCGTGACAGAAAATCGGAAGGGCAAGGTTATAGACATGAAGCGTCTGAACACCTCTTCCATCCGCAACGCACCGTTCGCTTGAGTATGGGAGGTTTCAAAAAAAAAAAAAAAAAAGAAAAAGAAAAAAGAAAAAGAAAAAAAAAGGGAGGGAGGGAGAGAGAGAGAGAGGAAAGAGAAACCCATGCTCGATGTATATTCATGAAAGCAATTTAGCTGGCATTGAAGCAAAAAAAATCATGGGCGGACAACGTGGGGCATAGGGTTCCTTTGCTAACATGAAGATCCCTCGTCATTTCCCTCTTTCTTTAGAACATGAGCGCCTGTGGGATATCCCATAGACACATAGGCAGCGTATATTTTGAAGGTGTATATACCATTTACCTGGGCAGGTAGATGGCTTCTCCCAATTCCCGCGTAGTTAAAAACTCAATGGAAGCTGTTGGTCCGGGTAGACGACTAGAACGAGCTCAAAACTTCCCCACTAATAGAGACCTGTTGCAGGGAAACATCTTGCAAACATCTTGCTTGTGGTAAAGAGGAAGAGAAAGTGACAGCCCTTGGATGAACGATGAATGGGCATACGGATGAGAAAAGTGCTGATATAGAATCAAACACCTGTCATTCTGGATTGATTCTCTGGGACAAATTTTCGGTTTCAAGTCTTCTAGTGGGAGTTTGACAGTGGAGTCACTCCACCTCATGTTCCAGAAGTTCCAGTTGATTAACAGTAAAAGCAATAGCATAGCACCATAGCGCTTGAAAAAATTAAAAGTTGAGAGGCACAAGTTGATCCAGGACTACTCGGAGAGGATTTGAAAGGGTTAGATCTGGTTTCAAAATGGGCTTATGGAATGGGGAAATACATTTATCATAAAGCAACATGACCTATCTGGTCCATCTCATTGGTTAAACGGTGCATGTTTCAATTCTGTAGAATAATTCTGAAGCTTTAAAATAAGAAACATGGGTGGAGGGATTGATCCATGGAAACGAAAGCGGGTAGGAACCTAATTCCCCTGATTTATTGCTGTCAAGCTTCCCGGAACTCAGGGGGAACGCAAATCAGGATTTTTGTAAAAAGTTTGTTAATAATAAGGAAAAAAGGGGCAAAGTCAATTGAGTCAGCGTGCTGGGACCAGTAGAAAGCAACAGAAAGTACGAGGACAAATAGGAATGGATAAGGATATGGCACTCGTCATTCGACGAGTGGAAATGAGTTGGTTCTTTGGGTCATAGATAAGTAGAAAGTTCATGGAATGTTCGTGGACGAATCCTGGTTTTCTCCCTTGAACCGGCAGGCATTGCAGCTGGAAGGCGGATAAAGAGAGAATCCATGGAGACTGGCACATGTTTTCTTGGTTATCTATATCAGGGCTCGAATAAGGAATCGATCAGCGTTAGGGGGCCAGATAGAAGCGCGGCAGAGATGAAACATGAAATTACTCTGCCAATCTGAAAATTCGCCTGGAGACAGGGAGAGTGGTTGGCTAGTTATACAACCAATCCCTGCAGGCTACAGCGCGAGGGGTCATTCGTAACTTCGGGAGAGGGGGGGGAAGGGCCATGTCGGAGTGTAACTCGGAAGAGAATGGCACAAGTTGTATTCACACTCACTGACTTTTACTTACTCCGTACACTAAGGGATCTGTATATCATTGTTTTGAGGAGAAAGCATGCGCCATCAGAGGAATCTTGTAAGTAGTTCTGTAATTGGGAAAGATCAAATAATGGGCGTTCTCATCAGGTTGTAACAGATCCGTTCCAATGTGCCAAAAAATTTCCAAAAAATTCCAAAATTCGGCCGGATCCTTGAGACATATTCATGTCGCCCCATGGTTCAAGCTAACTTTGGAAACTATCCATGGAATAACTAAAAGGGGCCAACCGGAGCATCCGCATGCAGCGCAAGCCACTACCCCTAGCCCCTAGCTTGGACTTCAGCAATTAGCAAAGAACTCCGTAGTACTCCGTAGAAACTCCATAGTTTCGAGTTAACCAACTCGCTGAGAGATCTAATTGTTGATAATGGAGGCTTGTCCGGTCGGTTGCTTGAGCCGCGGGCCGTTGAAACTGCGGCGTTTCTTCTGGTGTAAGTTTGAAAGTTGTTATTTGATGCCAAACACAATTTACGCTGCGGACCTTTACTCAACAGGTGATGGTTGGTTCTAAGAATCCTTTGACGAGGCCCACTCTGTCGCCGGTCGAGGAAATCAACAGAATGTGGATTTCAAGAGCCGATCAAGATGATTATTTAGTATGGGGTAGAACAACACTTATTATTCAACGACGGAGGAGGGTTTGGGATACAGATTTCAAGTGGTCCTTCCGAGGCTGAGAAAATACGAGGAGAGGCCCTGGGTATATTTGTGATCGGTCAATCGGGATGACGTTCATGTCTAAACCTGAAACTATAATCTACCGAATATACGGAGAACTACCACGGGAGATAATACTTGCTTGGATTCCAGGGAACAGTTTGAGATTGCTTCCCAGGTTTGCAGCAGAATGTTAGGGCTGGCCTGTCGATTCTGAAAGAGCAGGAAAATTGATCGGCAGTTTGTGGGAAGCTGCTTCGAAGCTGGGATTATCCGTGGAGAGTGGAACCTTGGGTCATCATGGGCCAAAATTAAGCCAACCGAGTGGAAGGGTTGACAGGTCCAGGTGGTCTGACGGCAAAAGGGATTGGAAATCTGGCCCCAGATTTCAGAATCATTTTGGGGGAAAATGCCCCATTGTGTAGTTATGCTGAAACATCCAATTCAATGGAATGAATATGCGTAGAATTTTTCCATCTTCAGCCAGTCAATGTTGCCGCGAGTGGGATTTGGGACAGAGCAGTCTCAGGTGCCGCATCCGGTGTTGAAGCGACAGGCTGTTGTTGATTTCGAACGAAAGTTCCCACATTAACTATTT